AGTGGCACCAAATCACGCTATATGGCCACTGATTACGTACGACGCACGTGACTGTCGCTATCACTGAGCCTTGTGATTAGTGCTTTCTGTACCGTCTACTGCGGTGAACCGGAAACGATCTCGATCTTTTTACCAAGCACTCACCGAAATGCTTGTCATCGGTGTAGCTTGTGGAGTAGCCGGTTTGACAACTGTGCTCACATGTATTCGTGGGTACGATGTCGGAAGGGCACGGCTAAAAGATTACTGTTAGGGTTCTGAAGTGTCTAATCATAAGCAGGCAGCTTAAGCTAACCTTGTAACGAGTAGCGTTGTTGTCGTGCTCGCATGGTGGGAACGGATACGGTTTGCAGCCAGCCTGAAAAATAGGGTTCTGAATTGAAGCAGCATCTTTTTAGAATGGTTCCTATACCTTTGAAGTGTAGTTGCCTCCGGTGACAACACCGTGTTTCACCCAGAACTTCCACGCCTGAATTGCGAAGCCTCCCTCACATCTGAAGGTAAACAGGTTAACCATTACGACAAGCCAGGGTGAAGCACCCAGTTGCCTTGTAACTTACCCACTACCGCACATGAATCCACAACAGGACAGAATGTCGTCCGCGGAGATGGTGAACTGTTCCTTACCATTTGAAGCAATGCAGATACGGTCAGTCATCGCTTCAGCTGCTCCGAACGCCCAGCATGAACCTGAAATCGGAAGTAGATGAATAAATGACCGATAATGCAACAAGCTCGACTGGTCTATTTCGGTACGAGCCACGGGTTCAACCAGCGCTAGGAAGCACCATATCATTACCATGCTTTGGCTTTTGTGGAAACATATTGAACGACACAATGTCTCTGTTGTACTATGCAACAGTTACAATATCTCTATTCCTTCGGACCAGCTTATACCTACGCAACGAATCCTCGAGGTTGAAGTGCCAAGATGACCGGTAGAATATGATTCTCCGACAAATTGACCTATTCTCACTATTCTGAAGTAAAGCCACCATCGCCGTTACCATCTTGCGTATTCTTGGATGTGAACGGAACTAGGCGGATCTAAGAAGAATTAAAGGTTGGATCCTTCCCCGTCCTTCTAGCGAATGTAGTAAAAACTACGTCGCCTCTAAAACCGTATTGTGATTGCCTATTGGACGAGTGTCACGAGAAGTCCAACATTTATTGATTCAGTGGAGTCTTGCATTCTAGATTTTGGACGGCAGTCACATTTTCCGAGATGAGTTCCATCTTCTCAACGCAGTTTTAGGGTTTTGATAGACGGTATGGGAGTGCCATTTGAGTACCATATCAACGACATGCCCATACTATTCGATTGCAGTGGGTTGTAGTAGAGGATGCCTGATTATTAGGATTACCGGATATCTTAGTGTCGCTTTCTGAGTTCAGGAAGTTTTGGGGCCGATTACTATGGAAAATCAATATCTCAGAAAGTCCTTTTTTGCTTATTAATACTGCGAAATATGTTGCTTATTGTTTTCTATTGTTGGTTCACAATTTAAGTATCCCCTTTTTTTGAAAATTCCTGGGTCCAGTGTGCAAATTCGCATGTGTGTACCAAATGCTTCAAAATTCTTGCTGAGAGCTACAACTTCCGCCCACCAAACCAACATTGCATTTGTTGGAGGGAATACTACCATTTAAAATGCTCATCGGTTTTTCACAGTTTTCTCAAAAGACAGTGAAGTCTTTGAAGTGATGCCCGCAATCGTCGTCAAAAAGGTGGCCCTATTAAATCAGTCACGGGGCTGCACCAGTCTTGTGCTGGAATGGTAGGACACCTTAGCAGTTACTGATCGATGATGCACAACGCTTAACGAAGTTGATTGCACAAGAAATTCTAATAAATGTGCTCATCTGCTACTCACGTGTGCTCAAAAAGGGTGCGTTTTTGACCCTATGTGGCAAAAAAGACTCCGGGAAAAATTGTCCAGTTGAGCTGGTAAGTTTTAACTTTTCCACCATACAGTGCAGACCCTGTACTTCTTTTGTCCAGGCCTAACTTTTTAGCAAGTGAGAGGGATGATTTGTCAGATGATGTCAAAACCGACCTACCTCTCTTTTTCGACTCAAAAAATTCCTAGCTTTAATCGTACGAGGTTTCCACTCATACTGGTAAATGGGAAAGTGCTAATGAGTCATTCGATGAATATGCTGTTTCACTCCCCGGATTCTGAATTAAAATATTGGTGGTCCGAAACTCGTGGTGAAAAAACGACACTAAGATATCCGGTACCTAATATTATATATCTGAAGTTATTCGGACAAAACGGCCAGTTTCCTATGGATACAACCCCTTCTCCGATGCGCTGCTTAGCTTTCATACAATTGAGAGGGTTGTTTTAAATCATTTCACTAAGAACACTGCGCAACTCTCCACCATACAAGCAGCTCTCGTTCCAGCCCGTATTTCCAAAAACTCGTCAAATTCTGCGGAGTTTTCTCGCAAGCAGGTCGGCACTTACCGCATGTCGATTGGTCGCGAATCGAGAGGATCGACGGGCACTGAGGCCACTGTTTTCGGGCATCGAACGAATCGGGGATGGAAGCATCTTCGATATCGTCATGGGTCTTTTCGTTCACCTATAAACCGATAACTTCTTTAATTCCACACCAAACACAAGAGGAGAGAAAAATAAGCTTTCCGGTCCAACACTTAACATTTAGACATTTATAAGAGCCAGGTTTCTCACTTCAAACGTAGCTGCCGAGTTTTCTGTGTTCGAAAAATTTATTACACCCAAAAATAACCCAATTCAAAAAATATTTGACGACCTGATCAGATCAGGGTGGGTGCTTTCTTATTTCTTTTTGCTACCTCACGAATATCATCAAATTCTGTTCTATTTTCTTATTTTTGGTCCCTGTTCCTTTATTTAGCACTAGGTTAGGTTCAGGGTCGTACTTTTTTCCCATGTGACTATGACACATGCAATAAATAAAGAAGTCACTTCATAAATACACCATCGGTGACTCACTCTGAATTCCTCAGGCACAGCGACGTGCTTCGATCCCATGAGACGTTTCTTGATGTCATCAGGATACTGCGCGAAACGGGGAGACAGCTTGGCCTACACTCATGAAAACCTTACTGAGCGGGTTGGTTACAACATTTGTGGTGATTATTTACATATAAAGCAAACAAACCGTAAACAAGTTCTGAGCCTTGTTAACATATTCGATCAATTCGAGACCGGTTAGCTGCTCAGCTTCTCGAAGAACCCTCTCTGAAAAAACTGGTCAAAATTTATGGGCAAGCTTCATGGCAAGTCTGTAAGGGAATCAGAGTTTCTCCGTTTATAGCTCAAGGTTTATACGTTGGGGAAAAATTCACTTTCAAGTTAATGGATAGGCAGATCGCTTGTTTATTATTAGAGCTACGTACAGTAGCGGTCAAAAGTGTTCGCCGGAACGGTTTTCCGTGCTTCTCTTTTTTTTGCCAGAAAAAAATCAATGGTGGCCTCGAAAATTTTCTTTTGAATATCCTGATTCTTTAAGGAGGATATAAAAACACTAGAAAACATAGTATATCAATCTTTGGAGGGCGTTGCTCAAGCGAGAAAAAATAATGCACTGAAAATCGTTTCGGCGAACACTTTTGACCGCTACTGTAGATTACATTTGACATGATCGAGGTTGAAACGCGAAGGCGTCTAGGGGGGCACTCGAAGGTTCCCTCGGTAAAAGAGGAGAAACTCACTTGACGGTGGAATAAATGCAGCAGAAGCAGTGGCGAAAACAAAGGCAGCAACGACGACGAACCTCTAAAATGACAGAGTATTTTGCATATTTCCGAAAAAGAAAAGTCCCAAAGCGAAAAGCCGTAGTACAAAACATTACCATGATTGCGTGGGGCACAAAAACGTCACACTGTGCCAAGCCTTTTGTAGCAAGCGATAAAGCAATCGAAGAAAAAGAATGACTTTGAAGATAACGGAAATGCCAGCTGGCGCAGCCAGCTCCCATCGGCTCCCTTCCAGAAAATAGTTTTTGGTCCCTGATTT